AACCATCGTGATTGATTCATTGGTTAATTTTTCACGATGGGCTAACTGACCTGCTTCATCTTCACTTATCAACCCTCAGTGATACCCTGCCAGTGTATACCGTTAACGCAGGCGGGGTTACCATTCCATTGTCATCCATTAAGAAAAAAAAAAATATTTCTAATTTAAATCTCAAAATCATAATCAACAAATCATTTTGAGTTAATCATTAAACAAACACGAACACGACCTCACAATTAAACTTTGCCACTGCGCTCACCAAAAATGTTAAAATTATAACCAATTGTTGTCAGTTAACAGTTACAGTTTCATTTGTCGTTTGAACGTTAATTGAATTAGTTAATTAACATTTTTGAAGGCAAAGGATGCGCATCCGCGGGGGAGCGAGGTTATTATTAGACGAACGGAAGAATGACGCATTGGGTGTCCCAGTATACATATATCTGTCTCTCTGCTATCTAGAATTAGATGGTATTTTATTTTGAATAGAATTCATTTTATATGTGATGGCTTCCTCAATGGATAACCTTGCGTTTAACAAGTGACAAAACCAGTTAAAGTTTGATCTAAAAACTAACCTACTGGAACGATTTTGATAAAATTTCTATAAACTAATCTTTAAGTATATCGTTTCAATAAAAAAAAAAAAATAAAAAAAAATACTAAACATAAAAAATTTAATTGATTTCGGTCGTCCCTCGAACTGGAGACCGGTAGACAGCAGAGGTCGCAAGTTCGGGGGCCGACCACATACACTTTTTTTGTTGCAGTATTCGGCCGTACTACCTTCCTAATGCTCCTCAAATATTGCGTCTAAACTGCGCCCACCATGTACCCTACCATATATATTATTTACCAGAGGGAGACTTTGTACAAAAGTCGATTGCTTGGGTACCTCTGTCCCATTCGTGTTTCAACCGTGAAGCAGTTGTGTTTGCATAGCTGTGTTTCGGTTTGAAGGGTGGGATATGGCGTGAATTTACTGGGTACAGAGGAATAACACCTGAGTCCTCAGGAATGGCAACGCATGGGGGGTATCATGGGCGAAACAGTATACTCTGTTATGTCCATGGTACTGCTCATGTCTATAGGCGACGGTTACCACTTTCCATCAGGTGGGCCGTCAGCTTGTTTGCCATTCTAAGTTTTATAAAAAAAAAAAAAACCCTCTTGTATAGGCATTCCGTCATCCGTATCCAATAGCGAGGACGGGATGCCTTAAATACTGTACCGTAAACCATAAAGAAAAATGGAATTGATTTAAGAACTTTTTGAAGTCGATTGGAAATGATAATGATATCTTTAGATATGAACGTTGTAACGGTATATACTGTATTGCCAATGGTTTAATAAACCTGGATTTCAACAAGGCGGTTTCAAGGAGCGACCACGTGAAGGTTGACCTGACAGGATATATCGCTAACAATCTCTTCTCCCCCGAATATAGGGGTTATTCCCTTATTCGTAAAACCTAAAACGTGTTAGTTTTTACAATTTTTTTATAACACTATTTTATCACTTTACTTCAAATTGGGAACTCAAAAGAAAGAGACAAAATATTACAATAGTCAAAGTAGTTTAATGAGGTCTGAGGTTGAGGTTAGGTTTGACTTTTTATGAATAAACCAAATTTACCAGAGGGAGACTTTGTACAAAAGTCGTTTGCTTGGATACCTTTGTCCCATTCGTGTTTCAACCGTGAAGCAGTTGTGTTTGCATGGCTGTGTTTCGGTTTGAAGGGTGGGATATGGCTTGAATTTACAGGGTACAGAGGAATAACATCTGAGTCCTCAGGAATGGCAACGCATGGGGGGTATCATGGACGAAATAGTATACTCTGTTATGTCAATGGTACTGCTCATGTCTATAAGCGACGGTTACCACTTTCCATCAGGTGGGTCGTCAGCTTGTTTGCCTTTCTAAGTTGTATAAAAAAAAAAAACAGTGTATCAAATTTTATTCAAAACGGTTCGGTAGTGAAATACGCAACGTTTACGTGAAATAGTAACAAACATACATCCATTCTCCCATAGTTTATCATAAATAATATCAGACGATTCTAAATTCTACTAAGTACAGACAGTTGACGTCACTATGGCCATAAATAGAATTTTATAATCTTTAATTGACTGTTAATCTAAGAACTTTGAATTAGTTGCGAACATAATCTGTATAATTCCCTTTGGGAGCAGTAGTCTAGGCAACTAATAATTATCTGTCTACTGGGGAAAGAACTAGTTTATAACCACTTTATACTTGCTTTTACCCGCGATTTTGCGTGACTGTTATATATTTACTGACCGGGATAAAAAGTAGATAGATAAATAGTATATATATATAGATAGATAATTTATTAATAAATATATTTTAGTATACCCTTGTAAAAATTAATATTCTACTAATATGTATATATATATATATATATATATATATATATATATATATATATACATATATATATATATATTTGTATACATTTGTTTATATATAATACTGCGCCACCTACCCTTTGTTTTTCCTTCTTTTCTCAATGTTCTCTACCCAAAGGTCGTCTGGAAGAGATTGCTTAGCGATAAGGCCGTCTTATAAATTATGTTAAATGTATCTACTATTCTGTAAATGGTGCATTAAAGTGTAAAATAAATAAATAAAAATACACTTTATTTTTTCCACCAAAAGATTACAATAGTAATCTTATTCTAGATATAAACAATTACAACATATAAAAAATATCAGTGTTTTGTTCTTTTGAAGGCAAATCAATAAACTGAGCTATGGCCATTTTGTGTTACTATGGCAAACGCATGAAATAAAAGGAAATTGTTGTTTTATATATTTTGCTTTTTGTTTTTTTTTTATTGTTGCTTTTTTTTGTTTTCCATTCTTTTATCTCTTTCACTGTATATTATGTGTATGTTTGTATTGTAATTTGCGTGCTGTAAGTAATGTAAATAAATTATCTATCTATCTATCTATCTACAAGAAATAATCACAATGAGAAAACAATGGACGACCTTATCGCTAAAAGCGATCTCTTCCAGGCAACCTTTGGACGGAGAGTAGTAATTATAAACAGTTTATAAGTAGCATAGAAATCCCGGCATAGAATGGGCCACCTCTTCCTTTCTCGTAGATGTTGTTCGGGGTGACAAAGAATTTTATGGTCGAGGGATGGGCAGTGGCGTTTATTTTAAAACATCACCAAAGCCTAACTACGATTGTCTACCAGCCTGCGTGATGGTGTGACGACTATTGGCAACCTTTTTTTATGGGGAAGGCTTATGTCCAGTAGTGAACAGTGGAGTGGAGTTTACGGCTAATGTAATAATAATACTAGGTCTTATCCCAACCAGTCTAGAACAACATCTCAGACGGTTGGGATTTCGAGGCGGCTCACTCCCGGGAAGGATGCAGAAGGCGGTGCTCTTAGATTCTGCCCGCATTGTACGCCAGTTTCTCTCCCTGGGGCCCTAAACCCGGGCCGACTGTGCTTTTGCCGGGGGTTAGTTTGCCATCTCCTCTCCTTAAGAGGGGAGATGTGAATTTTCTAAAAATTTTAAAAATTATAATAATAATAAAACGTATGTTAGTAAGATAGAATAAAATATTTATGGATCACATAACTATTTTGTGTGGATATAATTTAATATAACAAAATAAATCATGACTTATACTCTACGCCTTTTAAGTACCCATCAATCATGTATGTAATATTGATGGCATACAGTATAAAATAAATAAATAAACACTTCTTGTCAGCATTACTCGTTCTCGAGTATGACGGATGAGTCATCCATCATTGTTTAATTATTTTTATGGGGATGCAGCTGCCGATTCAATAAAATTTAAGTCTAATATGACCAAAACTTAAGTCCTATCATAGTATAGTAGAGAGTATTCACTGTACTGTAATATATACAAATCTGTAATTTATTCTATGGTATTTAGGCTTAATACTATGTTAAGCTAAATGGATGTTTGCTGGAAGTAGTATTCAGAAAACCGTACAGAGAAATAATACCTGAGTTCTCAGGAATGGCAACACATGTGGGGTATCATGGGCGAAACAGTATACTCTGTTATGTCCATGGTACTGCTCATGTCTATAGGCGACGGTTACCACTTTCCATCAGGTGGGCCGTCAGCTTGTTTGCCATTCTAAGTTGTATAAAAAAAAAAAAAACAAATCACCCATACTGCACTTAATATAAGGTCCATATTTATATTAATAAATATATTTTAGTATATCCTTGTAAAAATTAATATTCTACTGATTCGAATGACGAAGGATTTTCGAATGAAGGGTATTTATTTATATATTTTTTTGTACATTCATTTATAGATATTAGGTTATAACAAAAATGTACACAGGCGGACTTATCTCTTAAAGGGTTGTCTTCCAGTCAACCTTGAGAATTCGCAAGGAGAAAGTAATTATAGGGTTTGCATATGAAGCATAACAAAAACGAAAACAAACAAACAAAAATAATACTTTATATAATAAATAAATATGTATTAATATGTATGTATGTATAAACAAAGAGTAACTTTTAAACATATAAATAATTCAACTGTCAATAGTATTGTAAAATCTTTTTGTTTAATTTTTAAAATTTTATATAGATTTTTTATTGTTTTTATTATTTGAATTTTAAGTAACATAGAAAAATATGTAAATATTTACTTATTTAACAAATAGCTGTTACTTTAATATTTACAAATGAAATTGATGTTTTTTAGCATCAAAAGAATTAATAGCTACATTTAAAAAATGTCATTGCAAAAAAATAAACAAACTAAGTCTTCGGGGAAGCGAAATTATATATATATATTTTTTTGTAGATTATAAAAAAAACCTTGAGCGGAGATGAAGAAAAGAGATCCATTCATGTTTTAATTTAACCGCGGTCCTTAATAAACACGGATTATTTACACAGTGATTCGTAAACGAAGGAAATAGAGGTGTTTACATTATTAAAAAGTATATTATCTCTTTGCAGATTGCGAGTTCCGGCTGTCCACAGGATTTTCATTCTAGAAAAACAACTTGGAGTTTATCCAATGTATATGAGTGTTATACGTAAATAGCATCCATATTTTTTCGTGCAACTAAATCTTAAATGACGGTTGTAACATCACAAGACATAGCAACGGACACCCATATCAATGACACCCAAGTTATGGACAGTGCTCATAGACGAGAGTGTTCGTTTTAATTTGGTGAAATCGAATTGTCAAATGTTACGCGAATGTGATTGTGCTGAAAATGGCGAAAGAACGGAATTCGTGTGTGCTGATCACAGTGCTAGTGTTACAGACGTTAATACATTCGAGTTTGGAGATAATAGATTCATGTAAGTTATTATAATAACAATTTATATTATTAACGTCTTTATGAATACTAAACGAGACAACAGAAGTGTAACGATTATTGCTGCTGTTACTCATAATTGTATGTTTATTTTCAAAGTTTAGTACGTCTGTTCATTCAATAGACGGTCATTGTATTTGTACATTTATATTACATCGTTATACGGCAAGGGATCTCTAAACTGCTGCCAATTCGCTTGCCAAGCATGGCAACTACTGGCAAAACTCCTTAAGGAGGAGCAGCAGCAGTGGAGAGTTAACAGCATATAAATGCACACATCTACTGAAAAAAGATATATAAAGTTGTCGTTTCAATCAAATATGAACCATATATTAAAACCTCAATATCTTGCGCGAATCAACAAAACTTTTTTAATAATTATTTCTTTTTTTAAATCATACGTGGTATTGACAATATCATCGAAGCAACCACATGTCATAGTTTAATTTGGCCACATGCCAGTATTACGGGAAATTGGGTCGACAGCGACACTTTCTGTTTAGATGTTAAAATAGACTGAGAAAGTTCACGGTATATTTACTAGTTCCAAATGAATCTTACTTGAAATAGATTGATAGATACTCTTTATTGTGTCCTCTATAAGATTATAATAGTAAACTTATTATAGATACAAACAATTACAAGGAAATATTACACTAAGAAAACAATGGATGGTCTTATCGCAAAGAGCGATTTCTTCCAGCCAACCTTTGGATGAAGAAGAATAATTATAAACAATGTGAACTGGAGGCACGAAATTCTGTTCATTATTTCAAATAATTTCTTTTAGAGAATGCTTAGCGAACTGTTCATGATAATCGACAGAGGATCATCTCTTTCTATTAGACGAGTTGCATACAGATCTGGATATAACCTATTGGTGTACCAAATCTCATTCAAATCCATTCAGTACTTTTTGCATGAAAGAGTGAAATATCCATCCATCATCATCATTTCAGCCGATATTTGTCCACTGCTAAACATAGGCTTCCCCCATATACTGTCATAAGGAACTGGAGCGTTCTTTACAGCAGTTTATCATTGGAGGATTTTGCCAATAGTTGTCACGCTTGGTAGACGGATTAGCAACCACACTTTGGCTTTTGGTAATGTTTTAAAAGGGACACTGCTGCCCATCTCTAGACCATTAATTTCTCTTAGTCGCCTCTTACGACACCTACGTAAAAGAAAGGGCCCATTCTACGCCGGGACCACATGGCGATCCATCCATACAATCTTACAAACTTTTATTTATAATAGTGGTAGAAATAATTTAGTGACGGTTAAAGTAGCTAGAGTACAGAGTAAACTCTGGTTATTACTTACCCCATATCCCGTCACGTCGTCGCGTCACATCTATGTTTAGGCAACTGCTTACTTTATCTATGCCAAATTTAGATCAACAGTGTAAAACAGTCGTTGAAATAACCTCCATGTGACAAGACATCTTATAAACAGTTCGCTGTTAGAAATTTTCTGCACGAAACCTCATAAACATCATATTCATTCTTTATGTTTGTAAATTTATAACAGAATTTTACACCTCAAATAAAAATACTTAGTATTTTGCTGGAGGCAAAATTAATATAGACACAGAAGTCAATCTAATACAAGAAAAACAACAGTTTTTTACTCTTATTTCAAAAATACTATCTACACTTTATCTACAATATCCGATTCGATTTAACTATAGGATACAAAGCGATCAAGTTTATTTACGTACCGTAAAATAGTTATTTAAAACTTAGTATATACACGGAGTTGCCATTCAAGAGCCTTCCTATCCTGTCGTTTGTCGGTCCGTTAAACTATATGGCTGGCCTACTGCCACTTCAGCATCCTTATCTTTCCAATTCTTTCCTGTTAGATTTAGGATATTGGCCTAAATCGTATACCTTTAAGATTATATTCACATTTGCAAGTTACCTTACAAACTGAAGAATATAAATTCTACCATTTTGCGCTATGAAATTAAATGCAAATCATCCTTATTCGAATAGACTTGTAAACAAAAGCATTCCTATTGTTCCACCATATCCAATTCATTGTTTATAGAGAGGCCAAATTGTGACAGTTAATTCCCGGGGATTACATACATTCGATAGTGTACCTTTATCTTGGATATTAAGATTATTTATTGGCACTTAGTAACGTTGAACTGAGCACTATCTGCATTCATAAAAGAGATATTAATGTATGAAGGATTTTACAAGCATAGTACGAGAGTGTGGCTAGCGAAACCAAATTTCGAATCCATTTTTTAAACGACCTAGAATACCATAAAAACACATTAAGAACACTGTAAAAACTGTAGATATTATTAAACACACTGTGACATTTATGGTCTCGTACGTGGCCATTTTTGAGAGTTAAGAACCTTTACATTTTATAATTTGATTGCCAATTTCACATCGTTCAAATCACATCACAACAATGTAATAATAATAATATTTTATTCAAGTGAGATACAGTTGCATAAAGTACAATTTACAATTTTTTACAATTTATATTGTACGAGAACTAAGTCTACATTACCATCAATCCCCAAAACTAGGCCAGACCGGGGGGAAAGGGATTGTTAGCAATGGAGTTTGGCAGCCCCATTGCTAGCAATATGCCTTTTTAGGTCGACTTCCACGTGGTTCCCCCTGGAAACCATCGTGAACAATTCTTGTTGAATTTGTCACGATGGGCTAACTGACCTGCTTCATACTCACCTATCATCCTTCACTGGTGGCCCGCCGATGTATACCGATAGCGCGGGTGGGGTTACTATACCATTATCATCCATTAAAAAAAAACTAGGCCAGACCTGTATCTTGGGGACTAATTCAAGCATAGCTATTTAGTGGCAAAAATGTAAATAATATTGAGGGATATATGTAAATGACTTTACACATAGATTAACACTATACAGTGTAGTATATTGGAAATTATTGTTCCTAAGGTTGGCAACATTGGAAAATGTAATTAAGAAAGTGTCATGGCGTCCTTCAATAAAAGTGCACATTCATTTCATAAGGAGTTTTTTATTATTATAAAGCAAAGTTATTTAAGCGTGCAAAGTACATCTAATGTTTTACAACATCTGATAGACTACTATCTGAATGATATGACTCCTAGATTAATATATGAATCCATTCTATCCCAATCAGTTGAGTAAAATCAATAGTTACGGTTATTTCATCATACTTTTGAGACGAGAGATTTAACAAAAGTAGTTTTCTTGAATACCTCCAACGCACCCGAATTTCTGCTGTTAAACAGTTATGATTGCGTGCCTATAGTTCAGTTTGAAATGTAACTGTGATATTACATACGAAATTAGCACGGAAGCATATTATTAGTGCTCAGAAATAGCAACTTATGAGCGGTATCATGGATATCGGAATGTGTTCTGTGAAGTTCACAGCGCTTCTAATGTCTGTGGGCGATGGTTACAATTCTCAATTAGAAGGGGGAAGAGATTGTTAGTAATTAGTTGAACAGTTCCATTGCTAGAAATATATCCTATCAGCTAATAATTGTAGTTAATTCTTATTGAAATCAGCGTGATGAAGGGATAATCTATAAATTTATCTGCTTTCATACTCATTTACCAGAGGGAGACTTTGTACAAAAGTCGATTGCTTGGGTGCCTCTGTTACATTCGTGTTTCAACCGTGAAGCAACTGTGTTTGCATGGCTGTGTTTCGGTTTGAAGGGTGGGATATGGCGTGAATTTACTGGGTACAGAGGAATAACACCTGAGTCCTCAGGAATGGCAACGCATGGGGGGTATAATGGGCGAAACAGTATACTCTGTTATGTCCATGGTACTGCTCGTGTCTATAGGCGACGGTTACCACTTTCCATCAGGTGGGCTATCAGCTTGTTTGCCATTCTAAGTTGTATAAAAACAAAACTAAAAACATCACTTATCATCTCTCATTGGTGCTCCGCCAACGTATACCGATAACGAAGGCTGGGTTACCATTCTATTTTCACCCATGAAAAAAAGAAATCTTCCCATCAAGTGACCCGTCAGTTTGTCATTCAAAGTAGTTAAAAAAATTACGCATTATATGCACGTCCAATCCCAAAATAGGCATTTACAGATGTTTCAGAGAAACAGGTGTGAATACTATAGTTGGGTAGAGGTCGTAAACCCGCGCTAAATGTGCCACTAACAACACATAGCCAATTGCTAATTTGTCTGCTTTGAACGGGCTATTTTCTAGATAGATGAATGGCAAAACTGGTAGGTATGTAGCTAGTTTGCTTGTTTTAAGGTACAGTATATTATATTTTAAGGAATAATTACATGGGAGAGATAAACGAAATACTAGGTCGTATGGGGAGCTTAAGAATAAAGACTGGGATAGAGCTGGCTGGAAGAAAATGCATGAATTATTTAGAACGATAAGAGGAAACTCTTAAATGAAAAGAAGATATTATATTTTTAAACGAAATTGAAAGTTAGTCATACGCGCATAACATTTCTAATCATTGTTCTTAGCTACAATTTATGAAGATCTGTGCAGGCATTTCGGGGATTTATTTAAAATTTTTAAATTTAATTTTTTGTTAATGTTATTTTGTTGTAATTCTTTATGTAATTGATGGAGTTAATCTCGTATTATTTTATCTCAAATTTGAAGCTGCACGAGTTAAAAATAAATGATTAGTTTGAGTTGACAGATATTTTTTTTAGATTTTTTAATTATTGAAGATAGTCTTTACTTAATAATTGATTATGAAAACTTAATCACATAAAAACAAAATAAAGAGGCAACAATAGGCGGTTTAATAGCTAAATAGAAATCTCTCCCAGACAAACTCAGGATGGAGAGCAATAATTAAAATTGTAGCTGGTCAAGACGTAACAGAAAAATATTATGATTTAAAAAGGGACTAAAGACAAATTAAACGCTTATATTGCATTATACATATATACAAAAACTAGCGGCCCGGTACGTGCTTCGCTACGTATAAAATGAAATA